ATTCAGCAACATGGAAAACAATTATCTGCATATGTTTTGGTCCCTTTTGATCTCATATATTCTAGTGGCTTTTGTTCTAAAAATTGTGATTCACCTCTGGTGGGCACCAAGAAGAACTGAAAAACACTTTTTGAGGCAAGGGATTAAAGGGCCTAAATATGAGCTTCTATTGGGCAACTTAAAAGAGCTTGCTAGCTTGAATTTGAGGGCCACAACACAACCCATGGCTCTCTCTCACAATATCCTCCCTAGGGTTCTCTCATTTTACCATCATTGGAAGAAAATTTATGGTATGCAATTTATTTATTTATTTTTTTTTAATTTGTTTATTTTTGTTTTCTTTATTTTCTTTCCAAATGATTAGCCAATAAAAGTTGGTGTGACTTGTGAGCTATGAGGGATCATTGTGTGTGTACTGTATAGGGTCTACACTATCCATTGTCCATGGAATAATATGAATATATGAATAATACAAACTTTTTCACCTTATTGGTTTTTGCTTAAATATTTTTAATTAATTGGCCACTTAGCTTCCTCTTTTGGTATAAACATGTTCAATCTGCAAACCAGAGCATATTAAACTCTACATTGCTTTTGTACATGCAATTATAACATCAACAATATCTTTTGCACCTAATTTTTCTTGTTTTACACCATTAATTATTTGATCAATTCAATACAAATATTCAACTTGGTTTGATGATGCAGGTTCAATGTTCCTAATTTGGTTCGGGCCTACGGCCCGCCTCACGGTCTCCGACCCGGCCCTAATCAGAGAGATTTTCATCCTCAAATCAGAGCTTTTTGAGAAAAATGAATCACCCCCACTTGTGAGGAAAATTGAAGGGGATGGCTTGTTAAGCCTCAAGGGAGAAAAATGGGCTCACCATAGAAAGATCATTCAACCAACTTTCCACACAGAAAATCTCAAGGTACCCCCTTTTTTTTCTTTTTTCTTTTTTCTTTTTTTGGTTTTTTATATATTTAATTTTATGTTCAAAATTTCAAGTTCAAAATTTCATCAACACATACCACCACTTGATCAACCCTGTCACACATATTTCAATTCTTGCCTGCATTAAATGCCACCAATTTTATTATTATTATTATTATTGAATTTGAATTTGAGCAATATAATTATAACTAGCTATTCTTCTTCTCCTTCTTCTTCATATATATAATTCATCAAGAACCTCATCTCACCATCATGTAATTAATATATACTGTCATTTATTATTAATATATATATATATTTTGTCAATTTTGAACTCGAACATTTAATATAGCTGATGATACCCATGATGGCCGAAAGCATGGAATCGGCACTTACGAAATGGTCCGAGAAAATGTCGACTGCCGGTAAAGTCGAAATCGAGGTTTCGAATTGGTTCGAAAATCTAGTCGAGGATGTAATTACGAAAGCCACTTTCGGAAGCAGCTACGAAGACGGTCGAGCCATTTTCGAGCTACAGTCCCAACAAATGGTCCATGCCTCCGAAGCTTATCAGAAATTGTTCTTCCCCGGCTATAGGTATATATATATATATATACTAAAGTAGGAAATTAACATAAATTATCCTTGTAATTAATGTTAATTAATTTTTAATAACGTTGTTGTTGAACAAATTTAAGGTTTTTGCCGACGAGAAAGAACAGAATATCTTGGAGAGTGGAAAAACAGATTCGAAAGTCGCTGCTAAAGCTAATCGAGTCGAGACGGGCGATGAGAAGGACAAAATCGTCAGATGAATGTGCTAACGATTTATTGGAACTGATGATTAAAGCTAGCCTCAACGGCTCGGATGAAAGATCGTTAATCACGGCAAACGATGTTGTGGAGGAGTGTAAGACTATATTTTTCGCCGGAAAACACACGACCTCAAATCTGCTGACGTGGACTACGGTGTTGCTGGCCATGCACCCACAGTGGCAGGAGGAGGCACGTGAGGAGGTACTCAGAGTGTGTGGGGCACGTGACATCCCAACTAAAGATGATCTTCCCAAACTCAAAATGGTATGGTGCAATTTTTTTTTTTTTTTCTTTATTATTATTGGTGATGGATGGTCCCCTCGATTAAATTAAGCAAAGAGAATTGAAATATTAATATTGAAAGACAAAATTAAATTGGAAAAAGGAAAGTGAGGGGGAAATATCAGTCTTGAAAATAGTTCCTAGAAATTGAAAGAACAAAAACTTTAGCATGTGTGAGATGCGCAAAAAAAGGGGGGTCTTATCTTCTGGAGAGGAGTTTCTATGTGACATAATTAAATGTTGCACATCTTTCTCAAAATTTTCAATCATAGAATGTCTAACAATTGGCATACTTTTTCATTTTTCCCTTAAAAAATGCAGCATTAATTCTTTATAGCACTTGATTCTTACATGGGGTTTGTGAAATAATTTTGAAGTAATATAAAATTTAATTTCCACTTGTTAAATGGATGCAAATTTTAATTTGTATGCAATTTTCAGTACAGAGCTTATCCTCTTTACTGAAATGTGTATAGCCCCATACATAGCTAGCTATAAAAATAGTAAAATGTAATTATAAAATAGTCCTATCTTGATCCTATATGTGAGGACAAAATGTGGGAGGACTTGTAGTAGCCTGCAATTAAATAGTACTCAATAATTGATCCAAAACTAGACATATAAAACTAGTGTGACACTATCATTATTATTAGTATATTAATATTTTGCTGCCAAAATGTACCAACACCACACTAAGATACAAGTATCTAAAATCCTCATGATTTAATTTTGGAAAATGAATAGTCCCTTCACGAAATCATTTCGTCAGTGCTTTAATAATATATTATTTAACTCTACACTAATTTACATGTGTATCTAAAAGTTATTAATAATTAGAGAATGATTCCGTTTGAGGACTATAGTTATTGCCTTACTTTTGACGTAACCTAACTATTTGTTTATTTACTAGTACTTATTATTTTTTTGTAATATTTAAAACAAAAAATATGCAGCTTGGAATGATTCTCAACGAGTCCCTAAGATTATACCCGCCGGCCGTGGCCGTAATCCGGCGTGCCAAGGTGGACGTACAGCTGGCCGGCGGGCCCCACATCCCGCGTGGCACCGAGCTCTTGGTCCCGATCCTGGCTGTCCACCACGACCCGGCCCTTTGGTGCCACGACCCGCACGAGTTCAACCCGGCTAGGTTTTCCAAGGGGGTGGCCCACGCAGCCAAGCACCCGATGGCCTTCATGCCGTTCGGCATGGGGGCCCGCAGGTGCGTGGGTCAGAACCTGGCCATTCTGCAGGCCAGGCTGGCGGTGGCCATGATACTCCAGCGATTCTCGTTCGAGCTGGCCCCGACCTATCAGCACGCGCCATCTGTACTCATGCTTCTGCACCCGAAGCACGGTGCGCCGATCGTGTTTAGGAAGTTGTAGTGAGAGTGGTTGTAAGTGAAGGGCTATAAAATTGGATATGAAAAAATTTTACAAGGAAAAAGGGGGGAATTGGGTTTTGTGGTATATTATGTGNTAAGCCACATAAAAAGAATTCTTGGTTCTTGACTCTTATTTTCTAACCTAGGAATTTGGCTAACACTCTTTACTAGTTAGAATGCATGCTTTGTTGAAAAAAGTCCATTGTCTCGAAGTTTGGCCCGAAAATTTCACCAAGAAATCGTGTGTGAGTCTTTTTTTTGGGTTGAAATCTATGTAAATTCTTTGTTATGTTTATGTATGCTTGCACGCGTCATGTGAGCTTTAGTAATTACTATTATGTGAATTGAGCTAGATGTAGGGATAATTAAATCAGCTCTACAATCAAAATTTATAACGAATATTAACTCGTGCGATACGCGAGCTGTATATATTAAGAAATATTATAAATTGAAGATTATTCGACAATAAAAAAGTTATCGTAGGACAGTTGGACAGTTATAAAATATTTCATCATGATAAAAAATCAAATATTTTCGAAAACATCATTGAACACAACATTATTAATTCGATTATTAGACAACACGTCTTCCTCACAGCATAATAATTTCAACCACTTTCTATTAGTTACTAATGAAATAACAATATAACTACATGTGACTAAAAATCGATTTTTTTTTTTTAAAAAAAAAAAAGATTCTTAATGTGTATATACATATCTTATTTGATTTGATTTTAACTTCAAACAACGAACAAATATATATTAGCAAATCCGGACATTAGTTTTCAAAGTGTATGTTCAAACTTACCGATTTGATTTGATTTTAATCTCAAACAACTAAAAAATATATTTGAAAAATGCTGGCAGTTCACAACTAATGAATGCAAAAATTCCAAAAATACGATGCACATATTAATGCATCTATTTAAAAAGTTTTCAACTAAGATATGCATTAATTAATATCGGTATTTTTAACTACTACTTTTAGTAAAATTTATATATATAATTAAGGTTCTCTCATTAAATCGGCCGAGCAAGGTTCAATGGTATCGGTCTGACCATTGATTGAATTGATTGGACTATTGTTTAATTAAGTGGTATTTAAATTATAATAGTAATGTAAACAATAAATTATATATGTAAAATCATTATTATTCAAATATTTAGATAATTTTAAATATCCAAATATTTAAACTAATTGATATATATTAATTTAGAAAAAGAAAACAAAAACAAAAAAAAAAAAAAAATCCGACCGACCAATTTTAATTAACAGTTTCTAACGATCAAGATCGATTGTTGACTCATTTGCCAGTGGAAATCAATTTGTTCAAATGAACCAACTTAAGCAGTTGAACAGTTCCTAATATATACGACATGTTTTTCAAAACTTTGAAAAAATTCACAACATTTTTATTCATATCTTAACAATTCTGTCTAACTCACAAGTAAAATATTCTGTTTATATTATTGCTATATTATTTTTAATTACTATTTGCCTGTGAGTGCGTGTTTCGTACCTACACTAAGAAAATATTATAGCTGTCAAGTTTATCACTTGAAGTGTAGAATTAATTATTCTTGGATCTGTTGAGAGCAGGAATTAATAAAGAATGTTTAATACAGCTAATTAAAATGCTGTATATAAACGTAGTGATAGGAAAAGGCTTATGTAATTCTTAAACTGAGATCTTTCACATTAAAATAGTTGATTATGTCATGTTATGTTTATTAATTCACACAAGCTGGCAATTCTATCTCAAAAAATAAGATAAAACAAATGAATTAAAAAATTCCAATTGAGATAAAATATAACTGAGATAGCAATGTTTGAGTTTATAATTAATATATGTTGAGGCTTGAGGGGTATAAATTACAAGTATGACACAGCATATGATGATGAATACATATAAATCAAAAAACTATAAGTGAAAATTAATTACATAACCCCGATCATTTACTGACAAAATAATATGCAATTGGATTAAATTAAGCTATTATACTCGTTTCGTATTGCATGCACCAATATAATATATGGACACGTCAATAATGCTAAAGGATAAATACGGCCTTTTCTAAGCAATAATTGATCAATAATATGGAACAATATATAAAACAATTAGTATCAAATCAAATGCTCAATTGAGTGAAAAAACATGAGCGGTTTACTGCAATTATTAAAGTCAACTGTACCTTGTCCTATTTTATTCTAAACTAATATTGAAATAAATGTGGTTTCTAATAAACGATTGGATTGGGATTCTCTCCTATCATCTTTTTTTTTTCTTTTTTTTTNTATCTTTTTTTCATGATTTGTGAGAACCTATAACTCTTGGGTAAGACCTTCATGTTGCCTTTGGGTGACAGTATTGTACATGATATTACACTATTTCACATATTATTTTCTGTTCATCATTATGTTTGGTTAAAACAATAAGCAAATTCTTTGAAAACAAATAACTTAAGTGGCAATTATGCCATACACAAATGCAATCAAACCTATCATAATTAGGGTAGAAACTTAAAAACAAACAATATCGTGAGAGGTTTAAGTTAAATTTCAATACCAATATCAGAATTAGACTCCAAACCTAAATGGATTGAACTAGTGTATAGCTGATAACGGATTCTAACAGTTGATTTGACTAGTAGATTATATCAAACGTTTGTAAATAATCTATACTTATATAATAAGAATTAACATTTATCCAAAATAGTAGGTCAAATTATGGTCAATGTCGGATTTGCATTAAATATTTTCCAAAACTGGTAAGTTTTTGTCCTTTTCACACTTCTCATTAATTATGTCCTTTTCATACTTCTCATTAATTATGTCCTTTTCACACTTCTCATTAATTATGTCATTTTCACACATCTAATTAATTCATTAATTACGACATAATTATCATAAATCATTCCATCTGAGCTTTTATCGTTAAAATGTATAGCGATCTGTTATGACCTTATCCCATTGATATTTCCATGAAGCGTCCTTATCGCGTTCTATTTTTTGGTAACCACTCTATATCAATAACCGGATATTTGGTTTATGATAGCACACGTCTTTATTTCAAGGAGCGGATATTCTTTGACCTTTAATTAATCTGAACTGATTGCCTTGACTATTCAATTTTTAAAAACTCTTTTTTTAAATATTTCGGCTTAAGATTCGGATATCATTATACAAGTCATCGGATTGTTTGAATGAAAATGAATGAAAAGAACACCAAAAACAGGTAGCCTTATTCATATAACCAATCCTAAAATATTAGTTTGTTCACCAAAAAGAGACAAATCCTAGAAATCCTAAAATATTAGTTTGTTCACCAATCCTAAAATATTAGTTTGTTCACCAAAAATATTAGTTTGATTTTTAGGATTTGTCTCTTTTGAAAATATTAGTTTGTGATAATGAGGAGTTACCAAATAATCAAACTCATAATGTTGTGTACAAGGAGGTTTTTAATAATATATGATTGTTACCGAACTTTTTATGATTCAACAATGTTCCTATGTATTTTAATGATTTCAATTTCGATCCTAATGCACGTGAGGTTATGTTATTCTTCCAAATTTTACATCTCGTGCATGACACGGGTTACGTACTAGTTGTTTGATAAAGAGCGTTGTAAATTTTATGTTAACATGTTATTATATGAATCATGTCTTCTCAAAATATTTCTATATGGAGCTTTTTCATAATTGGATAAAAAAGGCTAATTGAATAAACTTTTGTACCAAACAAGATAATTAGTGAATTTGATGTGTCAAACAGATTCAATCTGCTAATTTCATACCAATACATTAACATCCAAATAATACCATAAGTATTGTTGAATACTTAGCCTAGACCAACTCTTGTAAATATCCAAACATTTCCAATTTGGTATTCTAACAAATTGAGGTTATTGGACATGGATATCGGGCTCCAGATGATATTCTTATAGGCCAAGGCATTTAAACTCTCCGAATTAGTGGGTTAGTTATGTACTTTTCCCTAATCCAATGTATGAAGTTATACGTGTTTGGGCCAATGGGATCAAATTTTGGGCTCTGCAAATGGACTGATCCATTGTAAGTTCGATCAAGGCCCAATGAAACATAAGATTGACCTAAATTTCAAAATTTCTTCCAAGAAACAAATACGCACACAG